ACCCCACCCAGACATGAATTCGTGCACCGGGCCTCTAGTCCTATATAATAAAGGCTAATATGCAAATTTTCCCTTCGACTAGGAGTTCAACCATGGGGCGGGGCCAGCTGACCAACCTCCCACATCCCCTCTTCCCAGCCAGCCAGACCCCACCTGTGCACGAATTCATGCACTGGGCCTCTAGTATTATATAATTTATTATTCTTGTTGTCTACACAATATAATTATGTTTTTACATCAATAACTATAAGAGTGTATCATCTTTTCAGGGCCTCATCATATAGCCAATCTGAAATTGTTCATTCATCCCACATTATGTAATTGTAAAAGATTTCAAACTTCCATACCTTGTGGTGAATGTTTCAGGGAATTGGCAGACTAATCCATAAAACAAGCACTTGGTTGGTACATTTCTAAACTCAGTCCTTAAATGCCTGGCTAATGAAAACCATTCAAGTTTATTCATGTAACTTTTTTTTTCATAACTGACATTGTATATCAGTTTACTAATATAGGCACACAGTAATTTTATATATTCATACATTTTAGCCCTGGCCAGTCTAGCCCAGCAGTTAGAGTGTTTGCCTGAGCACCAAGGGGTCGTGGATTCAATTCCTGATTGAGCGCATGTACCTGGGTTTCAGGTTCACTCCCTGGCCCCTGTCCAGGCAGGTGCAGGAGGCAACCAATCAGTGTGTCTCCCTCACATCGATGCTTTTCTCTCTCTCCTCCCTCCCCCCCCTTGTACTCTCTCTAAAAATCAATGGAAAAAATATCCATTGGTGAGAATTAACCAAAAAAAAAAACCATACATTTTTGTTGTTGTTGTTTTTGTTAATCCTCACCTGAGGATATTTTTCCATGTTTTTTTTTTTTTTTTTTTTTTTTTTTAGGGAAAGTGGAAGAGAGGGAAAGACAGAGAGAAATATCAATGTGAGAGAAGCACATCGATTGGTTGCCTCCTGCACAAGCCCTGACCAGGGCCTGAGCTGGGGAGGAGCCTGCAACCGAGGTACATGCCCTTGATCGGAATCAAACTCAGGACCCTTGAGTCCACAGGCCAACACTCTATCCACTGAGCCAAACCGGCTAGAGGGAAAAAAAACCATACATTTTAATTAACTTCATGATTATATGTTTCAGTGGTATATACGTAAATGGATTCAGCAAATAAACCACTGATTTGATTTTGCTTCATTCTTGCTAAATTGAATAACTCTGAGACCTTTCCTTAAATCTATTGGATTATCTATTTTTCAAGACATGAACACATTTTCTTAGCATCTTAATTTTTCAGTAAAACTCATAGATTCTTTTCCTGGCCAGTATGGTTCAGTGGTTGAGCATGGACCCATGAATGAAGAGGTCACTGGTTCGATTCCTGGTCAGGACACAGGCTCAGGTTATGGGCTTGATCCTCACCCAGTAGGGGGTGTGCAGGAGGCAGCCGATAGATGATATTTCGCTCATTGATGTTTCCATCTCTCTATCCCTCTCCCTTCCTCTCTCTCTTAAAAAAAAATCAATAAAACTTACTTTTTTGAAAGTGGTAGATTTTTGTTAAATCATTTTCTCATTAAATGACATTCTGTATATCACCTGTTGAGCCACCAGATGCATGAGTAGTGGGTATGTCTGCTCAGTTTGATAACTAGGTGTGTTGTATGTTTGTCTTGATAATTCTTTTGATAGAATCATGTTCCTTAATATAGTGCATGCTGTCTGAAATAATCTTGAAATTCCTTGTCTCTTTTTAAAACCATCTTGCTTGTTTTTGTTTCCCTTTCATCACTGTTTCTTTTCTCACCCTTTCTCAAGCTGACTGAATCTTCTGATGAGGTAACAAACAGCCTTGTCCCTCATAGTTTCTTGTTCCTTCCCCTCCCTCTAACTTCGTGAGATCATTAAGACTAATGACCACTTTAACAGTTTGGATTTGACATACCTTTCTTGGTGATTCTTGTATAACATAGTTTCATATTTCCATTGCCAAAAATTTTTTTTTCCAAATCAGGGGTATTCTGAAAGAAATACAGTGATCAGAGAAATGAAACAACTATAGTGATCAGAGTTAAAATGAAGACTAATTGAGTATGTATTTTATGCAATTTTAATGAGAAAATAGATGCCTTTGATATTGAGAACTTCTCTTTCGTTGCCATTGCTACATTACATAGACCTCACTACTACCTCACATTAGCTGCCCAGCTAACAATACCACTATCCCCAGTTTTAATTCGACCAGTGAACCTTAAAAAGAATTAGAACCCAGCATAAAAAACACCTTTCTAGCCTCTGTGAGAACCAACTCCATTGCTTGACTGAGGACCTCAGACTCTCTTGGGTCTTTGCTAGAAGAAACACAGAAACCAGCACATTTTCCCTCTTCATCAGATGTGTGAATACGGCCCCCACTTTTCGAAGCAGATTGCCCGGTAGTCATTATCCCTTCTGTCTCTCTCCCCAATTTATTTGTGATCTCTGACTGCTCATGTCGTGTTTCAAACCTCTTGTATTTTCTGTGTTGTGTTCTTGAGTAGTCATAACATAATTGACAATATTACTGAATAATGTAGAACATTTTTCTGTATTTATCATGTTTATTCATCTGTCCTTCATAGTGATGTAAGTTTAGCACCAACTTGATCTTGAATTTAGCATTTGATTCTATTCAAGGCTGCAGCCATGGCTCCACCTGAGGAGGAACTGAAGAGAATGGGCTCTGCAGAGGAGAGAAGGCAGAACTCTGTGTCAGACTTCCCACCCCCTGCTGGCCGGGAACTCATTCTGCGCACCACCGTGCCCCGCCCCGCCCCCTACTCCCGAGCTCTGCCTCAGCGCATGTACAGTGTTCTCACCAAAGAGGATTTCCGACTGGCAGGTGCTTTTTCATCAGATACCTCCTTCTTCTAGTTCTTCCTGGGCCACCCCATTGTGACTTCAAAGGCAGTGCTGACCCCTTCTGTGGGAAGGAGGTTGTGCTGGTCGGAACCCGGGAGGCATGAAGAGGGCCTGTCCAGTTGAATGATCAAGCGTCGTACTGGCATCTGAAAGACTTTCTGGTGCCAAGCTTGGGAAGGGTAGTAGCTTGTGGGGTCCGAGGTCATGGGCTTGAACTATTGAAAGATTTCTTCCCCAAAGAGATGGCCCTTGGGGTGGGGTTGGGGACCAAAAAATGCAGGAGCTCTCTGTACTCACTCTGTTGTGTTCAAGATTGTGTTCATTTATTCTTTCTGTGACTGTCCCTTAGGCTGTTGCCTTGCATTTATAGTCTGTGCAAACACTTCTTATTTTTATTAGTATCAAGTATGCAAAGTAGAGAATCTGTTAACTCAGATTTCTGGGTGTTTGGGAGGTAGAATCTATTCCCAGAATCTGTGTTTTTAATATATTAAATGGCATTCTGTTTATTCAATCACCTGGTCACCATTTTTATTATGCTAATTAACTTTCGATGAGCATTTTTAATATTCTAGGAGAAATCCTAGAGTTTCACATAGATATGTGTTTTTCCATATATGACCTAAATGTATTCCTTCTGATAAGACTATATTAAATGTCACTGCAAATTAGTTTGATACCTACTAGTATCTTGTAAGGCTTCTCTTACTTGTTTTGTTTTGTTTTGGGTGCCATGTGAAAAGATAGCCTGAAAATTATTGTTCTCTCCTTCCCTTGTAGTTCAGTATGCATTCCTTTTGTGTGGTTGATAGTTGGATACCATCTCTAATGAAGTCTAACAAAAATACAGTCTTGGTACATAGAGATTATCATGCAGTTGGTATAATTTGGTGTATATGCTATTGTAATGAATAGAAGATTATTTCAGTGAACTATTTTACTTTTGTATTTTAGTTAAAATGAAAATAATTGATGGGGATATGGAGTAGGACTAGCATAAGGACAACCACAGAATACTTCTAGTTGTCTGATGATCAATACTTATTATGTCTGTGTTGCTATAGGGCCTTTGTTCAGTAATTTTAAATCTATTTTTAGGCCTAGAGTTCCCACTTTAATCCACAGTAAAAAATGCTTATAATGAAGCATAGGCCTTGCTGTGAAACTTTAAAGACTTAATAGATCTGTGTAAACCTGTTATATTATTTTTGTAAAAAAAAAAAAAAGAGTATCTGTGCACATATTTAAGAGTGTGTGTGTGTGTGTGTGAAGGAGGGAGGCCGGTTGATCACCGCCAGCCTCCACAGAGCTCTTCTGTGAGATGCTGGACTGGTTGATGGTGCACCACAGAGATACAGTGCAGACTAAGTCTGTCTGCTTTCCAATGGGACGTTAATAAGAAAGACGCATTTTACAGAGAGAGGTTGGGCTTCAGAACGGCATTGTGAGTCTAATAAAAAGGAAGTGCTGCTTTCTCTGGCTTGTTTTCTCTTCTTTTCTTCCTCTGGTGTTTCATTGTTATTTTAGTTAATTTTATACTATCTCAGATCTTGCTAACTATTTGCAGCCTGCTGGGTCTTGCAGGAATCTCAAGAATATTCTTGTCTTTTTTAAAATGGAACTTACCCCATTTTACTTTTATTATAGTTAAGTGTTTATTTCACAGGTATTTTTAAGAAATAAAAACCAGGTACTGCCGAAACCGGTTTGGCTCAGTGGATAGAGCGTCGGCTTGCGGACTGAAAGGTCCCAGGTTCGATTCCGGTCAAGGGCATGTACCTGGGTTGCGGGCACATCCCCAGTAGGAGATGTGCAGGAGGCAGCTGATCGATGTTCCTCTCTCATCGATGTTTCTAACTGTCTATCTCTCTCCCTTCCTCTCTGTAGAAAATCAATAAAATATATTTTTTTTAAAAATAAATAAATAAAATAAAATAAAATAAAATAAAATAAAATAAAATAAAATAAAAACCAGGTACTATACTAGGCATTGAAAACAAAACAGAAACCAGAACTCCCTGCTCCTTTTAGAGACCTTCGTGTCACTAGGGAAGGCTGATACCACACTGCCATAAAGTGGAGAGCACAGCCCACCAGCTATGCATGGGAGGTCCAGCATGTACCATATCACTGTATTCATTCACTCATTGGCATGGAGAGTAATACAGGCAATAACAGTGATGCAGGTGAGGTCTTGTGGGAGAGGTTGCTCACTCACGCTAGGGATTAGGAGAGTCTGTCTAGATTGAGAGCAGAAGGTGAGTAGGAGCTGACAAAGAGGGGGAAAGAACTACAGTAATTCCCCATCCTCACATGTTTGCCCTAATTTATTGGGATTTTACCACTGCTCCCATCACGTGGAATTCGTTTTTCCACCCCTTCAGTCTGGACTTAGCCCTGTCTTTCTTTCATCAGTGACTGTTAGCAAGCGCGACACGGGCCAAGAGTTGAAAGTACTTGCACACTGGGCTGCCTTCTCCTCCTGCAGGAACCTGAGACATGTGAAGGGCCCACTGAAGGACATTGGGGAGGTTTGTGATGCAGAAGTTCCTGATGCAGGAGGGGATAGGAAGTGTTATAGGTGAGGAAATGGAATGAACCAAAACTCAGAAGCAAAAGAAACTGTGTCTTGAGAGAAGAGCCAGCATTTCCACTTGTGCGGAATGTGGCACCCAGTGTGTGAAGAGGCAAGAGATGAAGATGGTACGGCGAATAGGTGAGATCAGGGTGTTGTGTGTGACCTCCGCGAGGATTGTGGGCCTTATCCTCGGGGCAGGGTGAGTCGATGAGGAGTTTTAAGCAAGGGTGTGCGGGGTCAGATGGTAATTTAGCAGGACAAACAGATTGGGGAGTCTGGGAAAGTGTGCACTCCTAGTTCTTGCACTAAATTGGAAAGTAGCAATGATATGGTCGGTGTTTTTTCCTCTTTTGTGCTTTGTACTGTGCTGCAGAGCCTGACAAATTGTGCACGGCACCCACGTGACGGCCTCACGCAGGCCCTCCCACGCCTGTGTGTTCCTATACCACCACGATAATTCGGATTTCTCTGCAGGTTGGGATTTTGTAAAGTCCAGTAAGCATTTATATTTATTTTCCATTCAGCAAGTGTTTATTGAGTGCCATCTCTGTGCCAGGCACTGTTCTGGGCAACAAGAATTCAGCAGTGAGCAGGGAAGATGAAAGACCGTCATGGACATGACAGGAAAGGACACCGGGGGGAGGAGGGAAGGGCTTTGTGGACGGGGGACAGGGAAGGCTTGAGTGGTGACATTTGAGCAGAGACCTGCATGGAGTGAAGGGTGCTGCCTCAAGAGTGTCTGGCAGATGATTCTAGGCTGGGCTAGTGAGTCAAGCCCAGGGGTGTTATGGGTTGGCTCAACGAGATAGACCACCGACTCAGAATTTAAATTTGAAAGCCTTTTTATTAAGCTGGCCAGCTGACCACAGCCCGTACCTTCCACCTCTGGGAAGCCTCGCGGCATGTGGCAAAGAGCAAGCATGCATTATGATTTTTATAGCAAAACAGTGTTACCTTAGAAGCTCACAGAAAGTTCATAAGCACAAAGGGGGGGTAAACAGCGTCACACCTGACTGGTCTAAGACAATCTAGCAATTTTTCTTCCATGGTTCCTAACCCTGCAACCCCCCTCCATACGTCAGTCCCTCCTCCCAGCACATACACAATCCTCATATCCTGGCAACACAATCCTTCCCCATAGGTCAGTCCCCCCTCCCAGCACATTCTGTAACATTCTGTAACCCTTCCATGGCGCAGTCCCTCACCCTAGCACATTCCCTACTGGTCTTATGCCCGAATCAAATCTTTGATTCAGTGCCTTTCTCTACGATATGAAATTGAGGAAGCATTTGGCAATGCAGGGATCAAGCCACCGGGGAAGAGTCTGGCATTTGATGGTGAAGAATTGGCCA